ATTTGCTATTTTGTGATGCAGAACTGCGTGTTAGGACTTTGTAGATGTTTAGGAACAGTGCTGCCTCCTGTCCCTTAAGCTCCCCTCTGCTTACTCCAGTCTCCACTCCACCTGTGCTTATGATGAATTTCTGCTCACTTTCCCTATGCCAGTGTTGTCGCTGAGCTTGAATGTCCCATCCATCATCTTGCAGGGCAGCTGGCTCTCCTGCTTTCGCCCAGATGAATTTGGACAGGTCATATCCTCTCTCAGCCTTTCGTATTTATGTGTTGGCTTAAGCAAGAGAAACCCTTATCATTTTTTCTGTGAAACAGGTTACTCGGGTGCGATTGCCTCATTTGTTTTTCCTCTGCGCTCGCTTGTATTAATCTTGCTTGTACAGTTTTGGTCAGCCATGTGTAAGGTCGTGGAGATGAGGTTTCACCATTGCTTTGTGCAGCATTATCTCTAGATTCTTTATGGTCCTTTTTAGGTTCTTTTATGGCAGTATTTTGCTTTGTTCATCCTCATGGCTGCAGCAATTAATAGTCCTTATTCATTTTAATAAAGACTAATATCCCTGTTCTTTCACATCCTTGGTTTCCACCTGATGAGCTCTCAGTTTTGATAGCAAATATTCTCAGTCCCAAATAACATCTTAAAATGTTATCCTGCAGCTGTTACTGGATAATATTGACAGTCGTGAAGATCATCTAGTTCTTCTCCTGTGTGGTTCTTTTCTGTATTTTTATTATCTCCTTTGACTTTGTCAGCGGATTGCAGTTAGCACACTTTCTTTTTGGGTCTGTTATTAATGAAGATATTAGTCAAAGTCTGTCCAAATGCCATGAACTAACTTCTGTCCCCTTTAACTATTACGATTCTGGAAATAATCCTCACCATCTTTCTCTCACCCAGGAATTTCCAATGTATTGAAATCTGTAATAAATTTTGGAGTAGCTGAGCTAGGTCTATACAATTAATTTATTTTTACAGACAGAAAATAGTGGTCTGGCATATCGCGGTTCACCACTGTCAGCATTATTGCTTGATGAATTCAGTTTTTCATTTACTATTTCAGTTCTTCAAAACTTGTCCTGAAATGTTGCATACTATTGAGGTCTTGGGAGCGTGAATATCTAGATTCTCCCTCCTCCTCTAAATACGAGTTTCAAATTTTCCATAGTGCCGTGCTCGGCTGGTAGGTGCTTTGAACAGCCTTGCTACCAGAGGTGTTATTTCATGTACCATTTCTTTTGGAGTGCTGGCATGAATGCTGCCTGCTTTCACTGACTTTGAACACATGGAAATATTGTTTTCTCTCCGCCTTTGTTGTGTATCTTTCTAACCTCAGTCCCGTTAGACGCTTTGCCTTGCACCTATGTTCAGTGTCCTTGTCCTTAATGAGAAGCCTAATTAGTTTCAGGGAGGCAGATGATTGGTTTTAATCTCTTGCCTATCCTTACAGCATACCCTCTTCCCTTTCCCTTTCTGGACTCCTTTACTTGTTTGGCTGAAACATCTCTTGCTATTTTATCGTTTGTGGAGGTCTAGCACAGCTTGACATTTGGCAGTTCTTATTTTATCTCTGTACTACTTGCTGGCTTCTTGCTAATGAATCCTTTCCTCTCCATAATACGTAGACTCTTTAATTGTTCCTAATGTCCTTTTTGAGGTTAGTTCTGAGGATACAGCTTTCAAATAGTTTTGTGTCTTTGACCTGAGAGAAATACTTAGATGGCTGCTTTCCCATCCCTTATCTCCTTAGTCCACTTGATTTTACTGTCTTAATTTTTCATCGTTAAAAGGAGTGAACTTTGACTCTCTTACAACACTTACCTTGTTTTATCCTTAATTTAATATGTATGTGCTTGTGTGTGCTCAATCCAAGCTAATTTTATATCAGCTCTTCTTAATGTCCTTGTTACTTGCCAAAGCAAAGTCTAAAATAGCATCAGCTCTTATTGGTTGAGAGACTCTTTGTGAAGAAATCTGGCAGCCATACCGCATCCAGGAATATGTGGTCGTTACGATTTCTATTAGCATGTTCTTCAGTTCATGTGTAAGAAACTTTTTCCACAAAACTGATACTGTTCTGCCATTTTTTTCCCTGAATACCTATTGGCGTTGAACTTTGCTGTGGCTTTGTTGTCTTTCTCCAAGAAGCCCACCTTGCACCTCCTTCCACTGGAGATCTCCTCATAGCCCAGCATAGCATTCCTCCCTCCTTTCTCACAGCAACCCAGCAGCATTCCTCCTCTGAGTGCGAGATAAAACCAGTTTGCTGCTGCGTCCTTTAATAACCGTTGGAGTCTCAAGTTTGCGTTTTGCATTGCTGAATTTGACAGACAGCATGGTCGTCTTCACGGAGTTCCAGAGTGGTCGGAAGGGACCTCTGGAGGTCAACTACTCCAAGAGGGCCACCTAGAGCCACTTGCCGAGGACTGTGTCCAGGCAGCTTTTGAATATCTCCAAAGGTGAACACTTTTCAACATCTCTGGGCAACCTGTGCCAGTGCTTGGTCACCCTCACAATAAAAAAGTGTTCCCTGATGTTCAGGGGGACCCTCCTCTGTTCCAGTTTGTGCCTGTTGCCTCTGGTCCCGTCACTGGGCACCACTGGAAAGAGCCTGGCCCCGTCCTCTTTGCCCCCTCCCTGCAGGCATTTACAGACATTGATGAGACCCCCCTGAGTCTCCTCTTCTCCAGGCTGAACAGTCCCAGCTCCCTCAGCCTTTCCTCACAGCAGAGCTGCTCCAGTCCCTTCATCATCCTCACGGCCCTTCACTGGGCTCTCTCCAGCCTGCCCGTGTCTCTCTGGTACTGGGGAGCCCAGCATGGACCCAGCCCTGCAGGCGTGGCCTCACCAGCGCTCAGCAGAGCAGCAGGATCACCTCCCTGGGCCCGCTGGCGATGCTTTGTCTAAGGCAGCCCAGGGCACCACTGGCCCTCTTTGCCCCAAGGGCACGTTGGTGGCTCAGGGTCACCTCGGTGCCCGCCAGGACCCCCAGGGCCTTTCCTGCCAAGCTGCTTTCCAGCTGGGTGGCCCCCAGCACATACTGGTGCCTGGGGTTGTTCCTCCCCAGGGGCAGGACTTTGCTCTTCTCCTTTTGCTTCTCCTTGGAGCTTCACGAGGTTCCGCTTGGCCCATTTCCCCAGCCTGGGGAGGTCCCTCTGATGGCAGCACGACCCCGTGGTGTATCACCCCTCCTCTAAGTTTGGTGTCATCAGCAAACTTGCTGGGGGTGCACTCTGTAGATCATGAATGAAGATGTTAAATAGGATCAGACCCAGTATTGACCCCTGGGGCACACCACTAGTTACTGGCCTCCAACTAGACTTTGTGCCACTGGTCACCCCCTGGGCTTAACTATTCAACCAGTTTTCAATCCACCTCACTATCTCCTCATCTTAGCCCATATTTGCTAGGTCTGCCCTTGTGAGGGATGTCACGTCTCCTTCGTAAAGAACCTGTAACCCTTTGGATCTGCTTTTGGTGTGTATCCCACTGTACTTTCAGCCCATTCACTGTCTGGCATAACTGTGCTGTCAGCCCTGATGCCATGGGAAAGCTTTTCCACGCTGGATGCTAAAACTGTGCAGTTTGACACCACGCTTCTCACACCACCCAGGGCTACTGCTTTACTCTCTTAATTCATTTTTCCTCTTCACCATCCTGATAATTTTTTTCAGAGCAGTTGATGAGTAGGAGATGGTAGTATGAAAAGTAATGGTTCCATACAGATAAAACTGGAGAAAAGTCAGTTTAAAAAAAAGTATGATTTGTCTCCAGGACTTATTGTGTCCTTTCAGGTCTTGTGCAATCTTCCATGGTGGATTGAGCTGCCCTCAATTGCCCTTAATTGCAACCTGTGTTCCTGCCTGTCCTTTCTGTATCTCTTTCCTATTTACTTTCCCTATTTTTTTTTTTGCCTTTTTGTAAAGTCTTGGCTCTCTGTAGGAGTTTATCTCCAATAAGATAAAATAGAAGATAAATCATGGTATGGATTTTTGGGACAAAGACTTCCTAGCAGTCAGGTCTTGACCAGGGTTCACTACAAGATTTAAACCAGAGCCATGGGGTGACTTCTCACTTCTTGTCCTCTCTGCTTTCCTGATTGCTCCTTCGGGACTCATCCCATACTCCTTTCTTCTCAGGAATAGTTTTTACTCAGACATTTCCCATACTTCCTCTCTTACTACTTTTTCTAGGTGGTCAGTCTTTATTTCCCCACATAAAAGTTCCTGTGCAGTTGGGTTTGGTCCTTCAGGGCAAGCTAATTTGTTAATTAAAACTACGCGTTGCAGTATGGGCAGGATGCAAACTGGTTTTGTTATCTCAGGCTTCCTCCTACAGTTTTGCTCATTGCGGTTAAACTTCTCGCAGCTACAGAACATGTTTCAATTTCCCTTTAGAATTTAGAGTGTTTAAGTCAGGAGAACTCTGCTACTGCTGGAAAATAGTTTCTCCTGGTGTGTGTGTGTTTGTCACCTTGCAGCTTACGCCGGGTTTTGGTCTGTGCCTGTGCAGTGCAGCATGTCCAACTGGTTTGTTTTTTTGGTGGGGTGTTTTTTTTTTTTTTGACTATCATAATAAATAGTCATTGTACATGCACTCTCCGATCCTGGCTTATTTTCAGTTTAGATAGAGTAAATGTATCTAAACAGAAGTTTTCATATATATACAGAGAACTTCAGAAATGTACAAACTTTACTGCAGAGCAATTAACCTACAGTCCATGTTAATTTTTAAAAAATATTAGAAACTTTATTCTGAACTCCTTGATTGAAATCTGTCTCTCTTCCCCTCTCTTCTTGCCTGTTAAAATCTGGACTTGGAGAGTATAAATGCTCTTTTGTGTTAGAGATAGCTGTGTTCCTGCCAATGCTGAATTCTGGTTTTGTTTTGTTGGTTTTTTTTTCCTTCTTGCTCCACCTCTCTTCAAAACCACTTCAGGGTTGGGGTTTGTTGATTTGGTTGGGTTTTTTTTTTTTTTTTTTTTGTAAAGTATATTGCTTTAGGATGCCTTTCCCTGCCTGCTGTAATGACCTGAAATGATTGTTTTGTAAAAGAACTAAAGCTGCAAAATGCAGAAAACCTTCAGAATACAGCAATCTGCTTCCTAATACCTCCCGTGTGAGTGGTTTCTGAGTATGCAAGCTACGTTGTGAAGATCACTCAAAACCTTAGCTTGCCAGGCTTTCTTGAAAACCCAGGTAAGGTCTTGTCAGAAATGTCTCAGTATTTCCATTCTCTGCTTTGCAGCTCCTCTCTGCTAACAAACCTTGTCTGGCATGGCCACGGGGATTTTATAAGCATTATTGCAAACCACAGCTGTTCACCTTTCTCTCTTTTGCTTGGAAAATATTCCCTAAATATTCCAGATCTTCCACCAAACGGAGAGAGCACCCTTTAGAAAAGGACATCGGTGCATGTTGTTAGGGTTGATGTTTTTCTGCAGTCGTGTAAAGGTAGTGTGATCTTTTTCCCCCCACTATTTTTTCTGTTTTAATCTTTGTTGCAAGTTTGCTCTGTCATTCTTTCAAAATAGGTATCAGATTAGAAAAGAGCTGTAGAATCCAAATAATCAATTGTACAATATTACAGTAAGAAGCGAGGAAATTCAGTGCAGAAACTCTGAGGTCGTCTTTTCATGGGTTCCAATCCAGACAAAAGTCATCTCCCTCAGAGGCGAAACTTCGGTTTTGGAGTTGACAAGTAGCTAATGCGGAGAATTTGAAACTCTCTGTGATACTTGTGTAAAAGTCAGCAGTTTTTAACGTTTAAATTAGCATGTATTTACCTGGAACAGATTTCAGCGAGTCCCTCCCCTGAACGCACAGGGGCTGAAAATCAGAGTTGCTAATATAGCTAACTTTGACCCGTTTTTAATGGTTCTGAGCTTTCTGCTCCATTACAGCTTACTCCTGATGGTATTTTCTACCACTCGCTAAATATAAACTCGTGTTCTTGTCTGGTTTCATATCCAAACTATTGTTTTCATTAACATTCTGTCACATTTCATTTTAGATTGCTTTCTCCCAGATTCAGAGCCCTCACGATGAAGCTTTTTGAATTGATCGCTACTTTCTGAGTAGATGTAAGATGCCTAGGAGCCGATTAAGGAAAAAAACCACTGTTTGTAATTGTATCATTAACTGGCAATTGCCTCCTCTCTTTCCCTCGCGTTGGTTGAAGTATTTTAATTTGAATGCGCTTAAACGTTAATTATGAGCCAAATGCTTCAAGGAACAAAAAAAGAGGCAAACGGATTTTGCAGCCTCTTGCATGCAAAATATACCGTTTGCAAACTCTCGTTAGAAATTCACTATATATTGTTTGCTTGGCAATTCATCATCACGTTGGGCTTCAAATAAAAGGCCACCGTGACTACGTAGCATCGCTGCACGTGCTGCTTGGTGGAGGACTGCAGCAGCATTAGACAGCTGACGCTGAGAACTGGAAGTATTTGATAAGCGGTGGGAAAATTTCAGTTAAACGGCTGCCTTCCACTCTGATTTCATAAAGGACTTTTATGGAAGAATAACTAAAATTGCCTCTGCTGCTTACACTTTTTTAGTTTCTCAAACTTTGGAATGGGCCGTTGAAGCTTTTTTTTTGGCTCCCCCAGTTGATATCTTTCAGGACTGTGGGTCTATAACCTCTTCTAAAGCTTTGTTCCTTTCTACACGGAAAGCTAATGCACTGTGGATAGCTTAATTCAGTCACATAATGGGTGGTTGTAATTATACTCGATATTGAAAAATACGCTGTGATAGGAAAATATTTGTGAAGCGGCTCAAAATGTTGAATTGCTGTCTAGTTCATCTGCCGAAATTGTGAATGGCGAGCGGAAAGGTGGAAATAATTTGTCTCCATTAAACTGATCACTCTTTTCCAAGGAGCTGCCAAAAGTTCAAGCGCCGAAACTGTTACAAATGGGGAGACCTGAAAAATCGAGGACAGCCTCCGATGTTCTGTAATTAAATCAGCCTTTTGTCTGCAGCTCTCGCTTCTGGTGATGGACGGGGTGACTGTTGCTAAGCTGTGGGTATACACCGCACACTCAGGGCTTACACAGTGTGTACAGAAACCACCGTGTGTGCTCTCCCAAGGAGCCAAATGTAAATCGTTACGTGTAGACCTCTTGGATGATGTACTCTTTAATGAACTACCTTCCTTTGGGGCCCTCCCTCCCGTTACTGCCTTATGTTGCTTTTATTAACTTACTGTTGGCGCGGGGATTGCCAGGATGACTGCATCCAAGTTTTGAGGCAAAAAGACACATTTTAGTGCTCCAGTTAAAAGCTGCGCTGCTGCCATCGAATAAGATATCAAATAGATGTGGAAGTACGATCCTGCTCTGAATAAAGCTTTCAGAATTGACACTTTCTTGGATTCGAGTGCTTTGTGTATTAGACCCGTGACTGCTAATTTTGATACATTTTTATGACCTTTTCTTCTTTCCTTAGTTGTTCGTCTGAGGGAACAGCCTAAGCTCTGTTTGTTCCCGTGCATCAAAAGGCTTCTGCTCTGCCTCTCATTGCAACCCAAGGGTTTGCTCTGGGATTGCATTATTTTCACTAATGGTCTCCTTTGACCTGTGTAACAGTTCCCACTGATTTACAATGATACGCTGAAAATGTATGTAGGAATGTAAGAGAGCAGATTCTCTTCACATCTCTTTATTGCCAGCTCTGCAAAGCCAGTGTTCGAAGTGTCTTTTTCTTAAGCCAGTAGATATTTCCTGTGGTAGTATATAGGCAAAGTTCACGTGGAGCCATATGCTGCTGGTGTCAGCTGGATTTCAGAGTAGAGATGAATTATAAACTAGACTGAGATTCTTCTAAGGAATGATGCTCTGGCTGATTAAAGCAGGCTTATTTGCTCTTGTGCTGTACGTGTCTATTTAAGTGGGAAATAGCCAAGATTTTCTAAAGTTCTCAGAATTACATTCCTAAAAAGTCTTCACAATCCTCAGACAAAGCTCTTACTCTGATCTTTATCATCATTATTTTAATCTTTCATGGTTCTTGTGTCCAGCAGTATGCAAGTACTGAAATCTTCCCAAGCTCTTATTTTTCAAAGGAAATCTCCCTCATTACAGCAGTTTTGGATTAAATTTCTTCTTCTTACACTCTTTCCCCATCCTGCTATTTTTATTGGCAATGTTACCCACAAAACAGGTGGTCTCCATTAACATGAATCTTAATACCAGTTTAAATTAAGCTTTAATTTTACTCGCCTTTTAGTGTTTAATGTGGCTCGGGAAGCATTTGTTTTCTTGCAGAGCTGAGTGATGGATGACACTTTGCTGCAGCCAAGTAAAGCTTTTGGGGTACCCTTAGCTCCTGCCAGGTGAGGAAGACAGTACCCCTCGGCTTAAAAATGGAGCTGGAGGAATGTCAGATCCCACGCGTCCACCTGCCTTTTATTTTAGGCCTTCAACCTCTTTAAGGTGACACGAATATTGCCAGCAGTGGTGCTCTCTAGGGTTACCTCTTTGAGGTTTACAGCCTAACTAAAAGGCTTTGATAATGCACGTAATAAGATAGAGCGAAGAAACCGTACCGCGGTTAAAAAGCAGAGTCTGTAACTGACTCTAATACCCTGATCCGTCTCTGGAGGAAACGTTAGGCATTTGATACAGGGCATAAATATCCCTGAAGACTGGACATGACCCGTGGAGGTTTCCAGTTTTTCTCTAAATTAATGTCGTTCAGTAATCAAAAGCCACGGGCTAATCAAATGAAAGCTCTCGGTAAAGGGAAAGGGAAAGGGAAGGAAAAAAAATGTCTTTGTTGTTGGCCAAAGAGAATAAGATACATATAGATAGGTAGTGATTGCTTTGATAAAATAATTATGTAGGCTTGAAACCCTACTGAGGATGGTGATCTCCATAGCTTTCCTGCCAGGTCCTGAGTGTGCCTCATGCACCTTTAATGAGGAGTAGGTGTCGGTGCAGAGATTATAATCATCCTTCGCTCTCTGGGACCCTTCTGTTCCAAAAATGTTCTTTTGCTTTTGCTTCTGAAAGCACTGGAATGCCAAAGTTGTTTGCTAATGATGTCCCTTGCCTTTATTTAGATATAACTGCAGGTGCTTTTGAGCCCATTTCGCTGCATCTCTCTCGCTGTGGTAAGAGGTTTGCTTTAAACCGAACAATGAAACGCAAATCAATTTGTTAATCTGATGAAATTTGCTGTTGAATGTAATTACTTTTGGAGACATGCAATTACATGCTGATTTTTCGGAACAGGCAAACTGACATCTTCTGCTGGGGATGGAAAGATTTAAAACAGAACAGTTAAATGATACTTTAAAACATGAAACAGCTGCTTCCTTTTTATCTGCTCCTGCTCTCTTATTTTTGGCATCAACCGATGACATTTTTCTCCTTTTAGAAGTTGTTCCCTTTCATATTAACTAGTATTTTTGTTAGAAGCTTCTTAAATCCCTAAAAACTACGGTTTCTCTCAAAGGCAGTTAACCCTTGCTAGGGTGTGTTGCAACTTGAGTACTTTTACTGCAGCTGGTGGCTTCAACAACATTGAGAATTGCTCATGCTAAACTTTCCCCAAGTACTGTATTGTTGCTTGGGATTTTTATCCTTTTACCCAACCACTGAAATCTTGGGGTTTTATAGCTACAGCTTGAGCTATACTTCGGATGAACTGCAGTAACTCACGTATCTTTGTTTGCGAGGGTTATTGTAGTATCTTCACAGAGCATTGGAAGTCTGCTCGTGTGGCTGTTGCAAAACTTTAGCTGCATAAAAAAGCAAAGTTATAGGAGAACAGAGAGACATAGACTGAGATTCAGATTTAATAACACCAGGAGGATTTCTTTGGATGAGGGTTTTCCTGGATATGAGAGTAAGGTATGTATGAATTGTCTTACTTAGAAGGAAGCTGATCTTTTTTTGTCTTTTAAGATGCAGGGCTGGAAAGCATAATATCAAAAAAATGCAGAATTACTTCTGTGTGGAAGCAAAGTCTGCATTAGGCAATTAATTTCTCCTGGGTGAGGCCCGAGGTGATGATGTGCTAGTTGCTTGCAGTTGTCGTACCTCTGTGCTGAATAGCTCTTGAAAATACATTATGCCGCTGCTGAATGTAAATGTAAACCTCAAGTTCAAATATATTTCAGAAAACGAGTGATGTGGGCCATTGCTGGGAAGCTTTTACAGCTACCAGAAGAGCTAGATATATTTACTTACACGAAAGCTTATTTAAAGAGTCAAAGAATAGTAAGCAGACTTAATGAAGAGGAGAAAAGTGCACTGCCAATAAAATATAAGAAACCAACATACTCAAATGCAACAGTAGATACAGCCTGGCTGAACCACGGGGGAAAAATATATCCCATACTAACAGAGTGACAAAACCGAAACCCCTCTGGCTTGTTTAGCTAACCGACACGAAGACAGAGCCACCAGCGCTCCAATAATAGCTCTCAGATGGCTCTGTGGGTCTGCTTTTGGTCAAAACAAACCGGTCCAGGAATGTCGCTAAAATTTCTATTTTCTCTCACTTAGTTTCCTGACTTTGTAGTATTCATTTTTTTCCTACCATATTGGCAAAATGTTGCTCACAGCGGCGTTGCCCAGCAGCGTGGAGAGTTGGGGTCAGGGTGGTGTAGTACTGTCACAGCCCTGTGTAATAATAAATCTCTGGGTCAATTTTTTGTTTGGTTGTGTTTTTTTTTAATTGGTTTATTTGTTCTTTTTTTCTTGTCATCCTTCATTATGAGTGTCATGTATAGTTCTTTATTAAAACAGTCTGCTTGGCCTGCACGACGAGCACCATCCTGGTTCGTACACCTGCACCCAAAGCATCTTTAAATTACCTGAATATTTAGACTATGAGCATTGAAATAAATCACGAGATATTGATTTGTCAGTTCAGCTTTTTACGGGGAAGTTCTTCCGTGACAAAATGGTGAAATACAAGTTCTAGAATGCCTTTAGTGATAGGTAGTAACTGCCTGTCTTTTTTTAATGCTAATATGAGAGCTTATATATATAGGTTGTTCATTTTTCCCTACCCAGCAGTGTTCTTTTTTTTCATGTTAAGAAGTCTTTAACACAAAATCATAGCCAAAGCTTTCAACAAATAAAACCTTGATGAGTAAAACAGCCCAGCCTATGATTTCTGACTTCAGAGCTCTTTCAAAACTGATAGTGATGCCGCGTAACGCGGCAGCCCTTTGATCAGCCCTTACATGAGCTCTCACACCCTGTGCTCCACAGCATAAAGTTTCCTTCCAAAGTACCTGCTGGTTTTTCCTTGATTTTAGGTTGGAAACATGGACCAAGCTGCCAGTCCTACAGTTACGGGTATGCAGCAGAGAGAACTCTGTGTATTAAAGCTCCCAGCATTTTATTTCATAACTATGCTAGTGTGTCGTTTAAAAAAAAAAAATAAAAATCCTAGAATGGGTTGAACCTTCAATTGCTCTGCATATCTTTGGTTCTTCGTTTTTTTTTCTCCCTGCAAATAGGCAGTTTGGTGAAAATAAGCTTGTGGGTTGGTTTTTTTTTTATTACTGCCACTTCACGTAGATTTGTGATGGGAGGTTTGAAACAGCGTGTGGCTTCGGTACTGTGTAATAATGTGAGAAATGTTGTCACTAAAAGATATTTTTATTTGGTTATTTATATAAATATATAGTTACTTTATTTTGAACTGGATATATACTTTATATATATCTAATATATATATATTTATTTTACTACTTTATTTTATTAAGGATGTAAAATCCTTAGAATTTCTGTAGACACTCCTGCGGCTGGCATATTGCAAACCTTTTGTGATACAGATTGATAAATGTTTTAAATCTTTCATCCTATATGATCCTTAGAAATCATGACTTCCTCGGAGAGGGAGACATATCTTTTTCTCTGCTAATACCACTGCAACACCGAGCTCTGTCTTCCATTTATTTCCAGTGTTTTGTCTGGTCAGAAATAATGCCAGACATAAGGTTTTGCCCATTTGCATCTGTCAGCTATTTTGCAACCTAAAAAAAAAAATAAATTGCTAATAAGGATTTAGCTGCTTTACTCTTCTTTCTGTTCTTGATTCCCTCTTGCGTACTTACACTGCAAGCTCTTTAGGGAAACAACTTCCATTTCTTTTAAGCTTTTGGCACACAAGTTGTTGTCAACTGTGAAACTCCTCTTTTTGCTGGACTTTCAGGGTCTGAGAGAGTGTTTGAGCTGCTGTGCGTTGAAGTTTTTAATTTTTGCCCCGCTGAAACTCTCCAGAAATAGTTGGTACGCTGACGAAAGTAACTTACCCTGCACACAGATGGTGTCA